AGGAGTAGTATCATGTGGGGAATCTTTAATAATATACAAGGCCATAGTAGTTAATGACTGGTGTCTGTGACAGACCTTGTCAATCAGAGGTCCACAGGGTTCTTCCACAGAGACAAGTTCCCTTAGGCTAATAACTTCCTTCTGAGAAATAGGCTCTTTGTATTTGTCCTTTTTGGAGAATGAACACCTGATCTTGAACTCCAAATACCCTATGACTCCAGCTATCCATTCTGAACAGGATATTATCTGATTCACTTAGTCATGAATATAGATCATGGATTCTCAACCTCAGCACTACTGACATTTTAGCCGATTATTCTTTCTAGTGGGGAGCTGTCCCAGGCATTACAGATGTTCAGCAGCATCTCTGGCCTCTATCAACTAGCTGCCAGTGGCATCCCCCAATTATGACAATAAAAAATGTCTCTAAACACTGCTAAATATTTAGCTAAATTGCTAAATTTTGCCCCTGGAAGGCAAAATTGCCCTCAGTTGAGAACTACTGCCTTAGGCCATATTTTGAATTCCATCACTCAGGAGAACTAGTCCTAAAGGCCTGAGTAGTTGTATGATCACATTCCCAGTATGCATTCTCCTGTCACACTGCCTCTTTTCATTCAACTCAAAACTAGAGTTGGAACTCACGAGAGTTCCTTATGGATAACTGACTGATTCGGAAAAAAAACCCAAGCTTGACTCATAGGTGGTTTGGATATTATGTTACTACCAGTCAAAAATGAGGTGGTAGAGGGCATTAAACCCCCTGTTAATGGGTGGCAGTGAATAACAGGGAAGGAAAATCCTCCTAGGGAGTAGAACTTCAAGCAGTTCATATTGTTGTCTCCTTGGCCTGAAGAGATATGCTATGAAATAAGGATTATGCATATTCATGGAGCATGAACTAGCAGTTTGGCTGGATTGTCAGGGGCTTAGAAAAGAACTGGTGCCAACTTAAGAAAGGTTGGGAAGGGGTATACAGATGGATCTCTTAAAATGGATCCAGAATGTGAGAATACGTCTGAGCTATGTTAATGCTCACAGCAAAGCCCTCACTGTGAAAGAAGCTCTGAATAATCAGGTAGATAAGATAACATATTCTGTAAATGTTAGTCTCCTTCTGTCAAGCCAGTGCTTAATGGGAGGATAAACAAAGTGCCAGGATGGCAAGGATGGAGTCTACAGATAGAGCTGCACTTTCAGAGGCTTTCCTGGCTACTCTCACATCCCCTCCCCATCTTCACTCCCATACCCCTACTTTACCAAGAGCCCTTTTATGGTATCATATACTGGGGGGTCAGCCATGTGACCTGGGAGCCAACTAACTGCATTAGAAGGGGTAACATTTTAGCAGTTTTGTCCTCATTGGTAGACATATTATGGTCTTAGATTTGCTTTTTTTGTCTGTGATACTTCTAGCAGCACCATCATTTATGGATTTACTGAATAGTATATACATTATCATGGATTCTCACACAACACTGCTCTAGTCAAAAGAACTTACTACACAGAAGAGGTCAGATAATGTACTTAATTCTTGTTTTGTTAACCCATCGCTTATCAGCTGCTGGTTGTTTTTTAGTTCCCCTACCAGGGATCAAACCTGGGCCCCAGCAGTGAAAGCGCTGACCACTGGTCCTAACCACTGGACCTCCAGGGAATTCCCATTAGCTGCTGTTTCTGAACATTGGAATAATCTATTGAAGACTGGTATGAAGCCAGTTGAGACACAACATTTAAAGTTGGGGTCTTTGTCATACAGAGTGAAGTTAAGTCAGAAAGAGAAAAACAAATACCGTATGTTAACACATATATATGGAATCTAAAAAAAAAAAAAATGATTCTGATGAACCTAGGGGCAGGACAGGAATAAAGATGCAGATGTAGAGAATGGACTTGAGGACACGGGGAGGGGGAAGGGTAAACTAGGACGAAGTGAGAGAGTAGCACTGACATATATACACTACCAAATGTAAAACAGATAGGTAGTGGGAAGCAGCTGCATAGCACAGGGAGATCAGCTCAGTGCTTTGTGAACACCTAGCAAGAGGGAGTGGATATGGGGATATATGTATACATATGGCTGATTCACTGTTATACAGCAGAAACACAACTCAGTAAAGCAATTATACTCCAATAAAGATCTTTTAAAAAGGGGGGGGCAGAAGAACTGAATAGACATTTTTCCAAAAAAGATATACAGACAGCCAACAGGCACATGAAAGGATGCTTATTATTGCTAATCATTAGAGAAATACAAATCAAACCCATGAGATACCACCTCACACCTGTCAGAATGACTACCATCAAAAAGAACAGAAATAACAAATATTGACAAGGGTGTAGAGAAAAGGGAATCCTAGTACACTGCTGGTGGGAATGTAAACAGGTACAGCCACTGTGGAAAACAGTACAGCGGTTTCTCGAAAAACTAAAACTACCATATATGATCCAGCAATTCCACTCCTGGGTATATATGCGAGGAAAACAAAAACACTAATTCAAAAAGGTAAATGCACCCTAATGTTCACAGTAGCATTATTTACAATTGCCAAGATATGGAAGCAACCCAGGTGTCCATCAACGGATGAATGGATAAAGAAGTGTTTTACATACATACATACATATATATATATATGGAATAGCCACAAAAAGGAATGGAATATTGCCATTTGCAACAACATGGATGGACCTGGAGGGTATTATGTTTAGTGAAATAACTCACACGAAGAAAGACAAATACTGTATGTTATCATTTATTTGTGGAATCTAAAACATAAATAAATGAATGTAACAGGAAGAAGACTCATAGATACAGAGAACAAACTAGTGGTTACCAATGGGGAGAGGGTAGCAGGGAGTGGCAAGATAGGGATAGGAGTAGGGGATTAAGAGGTGCAAATTACTTTGTATAAAATAAGCCACAAGGATATATTGTGCAGCACAGGGAATACAGCCAATATTTCATAACTTTAAATGGAGTATAATCTATAAAAAATTTTGAATCACTGTTTTATACCTGAGGCTTATATTGTAAATCAGCTATACATCAATAAAAATTAATTAATTAAAAAAAATAAAGTTGGGGTCTTTCTGGATGTACTGTATATTTTTATCCAAAAACTGACTTTTGATGCTGTCTGAACCTTGAGCTGATCTTGCAAGGAACAATAACAAATGACAAGGATTCATTTTATCATCCTGACCAGGCTTTCCCACTAACAAATAGTCCCCTTGCTTCCTCCTCCTTGACCCTCTAATACTTTTTTGATTCCTGCCTACCAGTTCTAAGAGTCACTGGATATCCTTCCAATAAATTCCTTTTCCTTAAGTTAGTCAGATGGTATATGTTGCTTGCAACATAGGGTCCTGATATAATGAAGTAAACAGAAATGGAAAAATGGACAAATATAGAAAAATCTCTTTTAAGATGTTTTACTGGAAGTCTGTCTTTTTTAAAAAAAAAAAAGTAATTATCTTGGTGTTTTAGAACCTGAAAAAAATTTTTTTTAATTTATTAATTTATTTTTATTTTTGGCTGTGTTGGGTCTTCGATGCTGAACATGGGCTTTCTCTAGTTGCGGCAAGTGGGGGCTACACTACGTTGTGGTGCACGGGCTTCTCATTGCAGTGGCTTCTTGTTGCAGAGCACGGGCTCTAGGCGCACAGGCTTCAGTAGCTGTGGCACACGGGTTCAGTAGTTGTGGCTCGTGGGCTCTAGAGCTCATGCTCCGTAGTTGTGGTGCAGGGACTTAGCTGCTCCACAGCATGTGGGATCTTCCCAGACCAGGGCTCAAACCCATGTCTCCTGCACTGGCAGGTGGATTCTTAACCACTGCGCCACCAGGGAAGTCCAAGTCTATCTTCTTTTCAAAGACCCCACTTTTGGTACTGGATATTGTTGTGGCCTGCATGTTTGTGCCCCCCAAATCCCACCAAATTCATTTGTTGAAACTCCCCACAGGATGGTATTAGGAGGTGGGGCCTTTGGGAGGTTAGGTTATGCATGGTAAAGCCCCCATGGTGGGATTAGAACCTTTCTAAGAGGAAGAGAGCTAGCCCTCTCTCTCCCCACCCAAGTAGGATACAATGAGAAGACAGCTATCTTCACTAGAACCCAACCATGCGGGCACCCTATTCTTGGACTTCCAGCTCTCAAAACTGTGAGAAAACCAAATTTCAAGAATGGCAGGGTCACCACTGGGCTTCAGGGACTAGAGGAATGTCATCAGTAGCATCAATGTCAGCCTTATTCTTTCCCACTGAGTTTGGCTAAACCCTGACTGCCAGCATCTCCTGGGCTTGTATCTTCCCAGCTTAATTTACCTTAATTTCAACTTGAAAAATCCTGGGAAGGGACTGGCCTAATTTAAGTCATGTCTCTATTCCTGTTGCAATCACTGTGGCCAGAAAAGATAAGAAACTAGAATTGGCCCAGCTTTGGTTAGGTACTTATCCTCAATCACTCTGCTAATGAAGCAGGATAGTTTATATCTGGATTCTATGTTAGACTGGAGAGAGAAATTTCCCAAGAAAGAGGAGTGCTAGTCCAAAAGAAACAGAGTTCCGGAAGAAGTATCTTACAGATAGATATATATCTATATTATATATAGATATAATGTCTTACAGATATTTACATGTAAAAGGTCTACTATATTTTTCTTAGTCATAAGACACAAAGATCTGGAAGAAGCTATCCAAATTTGATGATGGGGGTGGGGGAGGGGGGACGACTTGGGAGGTGGAGAGAAGAGCCCTTTAGAGGCAAGGTTAGGGGGAAAGGAGGAGGTTGGGCGAGGAAGGCAGGAAGTGAAAATAGGTTCATATGACAACCGCTCTGGAAGGAATACTTAAGCCATGGGATTTGTGTATATGTATGTGTGTATATCTTACACCTCCTCCCATATTAATCTAAACAAACACTTCAGATAATTTAAATTAGAGCAGCATTTGGCATTTCCAATAAAAGGTTTCTGAATAGTAAAAAAATGTTTAGACTTTTAGAAACATTATTAAATCATTTACTCAGTAAAAACAATCAGCAGATAACAGGAACACACTGCAGATACTCATTTCCCATTTGGCCTGAATAAGCAGTTTTGCTACACAATGCTATACTAATGTAGGTTTTTCTGTGGCCAGGGAAAACAGTATTTAAAATAGTCCATCTTTCTAAAATTGAAGTGACTATTCTAAACAGGTATTTAGAAAGGATGTGGGAACAATTAAGGCTTTAATTACTATGAAAAAACAAAACAGCACAATTACAAAAGAACATTTAAATAGGAAAATAAGGAAACTATTCATTAAAAAATTATACATGTACACACTGTATCAAAATACCTTTTCTATTTTGGTAACCAAATTTTGGAGATTAAAAACAAACTAGTTCAAGCATTTCTAAACATAAAAACTTCAGGTTTATATTTATTAAAAACAAGATAATATCAGTTTTGTTGAAGTAATCATATATACACCATGATAAATATTTGGAATTGTGAAAATGGAAATAGTGAATAGCTTTAAATTTCCTGAATATTTTCATGGCTTAAATAATTAAACTTTTTTGTTGTTTTTTTTTAAAATAAGTTTACTTAGTTTTAAACTCAGGCCAGTGTGCTTTTCTTAAAAGACAAAATACTTACTAAAAACGGTAGGTATTAAGGTTTGCACGAGCTAAAAAATAACATTTACATTTGCCTAGATGTAACAATTTAAAAACATACAAATTCAAGATATAGTAGGAAAATATGTAAAAAAACACATAAAGAACCATAGCCCATTAAAAAATATAAATGCACCTTCTATATATCGAAAACTAAATGTTCTGATTTAAAAGTAGCTTCTGTAAAATGTCAAAGTAGTAGGCATTGTTTGCTTTCCTAATATAATGAATAAATAAGAAATATTTCTATCTCAAACAGTACTATCAGTATTTCTTAGCAAAAATGTAGTATATACATATACATGGAAAAAGGCAGGCATTGATACAGGATGTTCTGCATCCAAGTTTTCGGGTTTGAGTTCCATTAAAATGTTTTCTACAACTTATAAGGGCAATGCACACAAAAGTAAAAAGAAGAGGTAAACATCTTACACTTTTAAGCATTACTTGAAACTTAATACTTAGATATTCCCAATGCCTAGGCTCTAGAATGATGCTTAAAAAGTCCTCCATAATGATGATGATATGACATGTATCTGAAGCACATAATGAGCAGCAGGTTTCTTGGTCTTCTGAGTAGGAAATGATGTTCTTCCCTGTTATTACAAAGCAATCATGACTAAGTTTTGTCAAGAATATTGCTTCAGTGTGGGTTTACATGAGGCACCAAGCTACAGTAAGAGCAGCTACAATGCCATTCAAAATTGCCATACTATAGCCCATGTGGAAAGAATGTCCAGTCAGTTTCCTAGGGGGAGAAAAAAACAAACAAAAAAAGGAAAATGTAATTTGGTATAACAAAAACACCATCAGTTTTTACCAAATATGTTTACAGTCTGGAAACATGTTTCCCAAATATCTTTTATACATTAATATACAAGTTAAAAAAGAGTATTAGACATCTTCAGAATTAGTAATAGATCTGTCAAATACAAGTCTTGGTTATCAAATGTAATTTTTTCAATTTCATTACTTAGAGCAAAATGCTCAGTTTGATCCCTATAACTTCTTTACTGTGCCTCATAATCACATGTGTGTACCATCACCTAATTCTAAGGTACATATCTTGTTACATTACAAGCATGTTCTTTCATTTAAATTAGCATTGTGTTTCCCCACTCTCTTGTTCTCACTTATAACTTAAAATACATATTATTTCAAGTAATTGTCCTGTTTGTACCATTTTTTTAGATTACATGAAGGAATTCTACTTTTTCTTTGAGCACTAAAAACAGCACTTGTCCATATGTGAGTCATAAATCAGATTATGTCTTTTATAGACATTTCAGTTCTCAACTTAATAGGTTACTTAAGTGGCTTTCAATGAGTTCCTAGGTGTCAGCAAAGACACTGTTTCATGGTTACTATGAGAGCCAAATAGTTCATGTGACATTTGTTCCCTTTATCAAGCAGCAATTTTACTTATTTTACTACATTTTCTTAACACTCCTTGCACTAATTGTATTGCAATAATACTCTTTGCTTATCCTAATAAGGATGAGACATGCTAAAAAGAATAGAAGGTAGGGTCCAATTGGTGTCAGAGGCAGAAAAGAATCTTCTCATGGGAGCAATCCAAATCAAGGACATATGAGGAGGTACACACCAGCAGTACTAAGAATGGAAAGTCACAAGTAATAAGGGCCCTGGGCTGAGAGGGTTATCATTCCCCTTGTCCTCTTCTTTCCTAAGCACAGATCAAAGCCAGGGAAGTACTTAGATCAACATTAACATCTGAAGACACCTCATTATAATGATTTCCAGTCCAGTAAGATCAGTGGCAGAGTATAGAAGATACTCTCTTCGAAGAACAACCCTGTTGCATTCACCTGAGACTATAGAAGACCCTGATGTATCCTGATGGCCCACTGTTCTGGTCCATGGGAGTTATTATTTACTCTCTCCACTCAATCTTACTCAACTGGGACTAGTTTAAGATGCTTCTCATCTGCCATTAAGGGCTAATCTACCTAGATGTATTACCTACTGTACGGTAAAATAAAATAGATACACTAAATGCTCCTTTAAAAAAAAGAATTCCTCCAAAAATTGATTAGTAGAAAGAAATCTAATCATAACTATCAGCATTATCATTCACTGTAAAAAAAAAAAAACAAAACTACTACTGACCTGAGAACATTTAAATTCATACTAACAAAGTTAATCATGGAACAGAATTTCAGGAGTTAATTGTTCTCTTCTACTAGTTTGAGACCCTGCATTCCCACAAAAATAGAAGAATCTCTAAAGTACAGTTTACTGAACTTTAGGAAATTATAATAACTACAATGTTGATATAATTGAACGTTACTGAGATATACAAGCTCAAATGCTTAGTGACCGTCACAAACCAGGCACAACAAGGAATTCTAATGGCAATGAAGAAATACTCCAGAGCAGTGATTCTTAGTCTTTCTACCATCTCAAATGCACCATACTCCCACTGGGAATGTTGTAGCCATTGTCACACATGTACTGCCAGGCAAGGAACTAAAAATCTTTGACAAATCGCTTGATTTAAAGCTCCTTTTCAAACACCCACCATGATTTTCCTCCCGAGGAAGATACAGAGAACCTCTGGTAAGTTTTCCCTCCTATGCCTCTTGTGATCTTTGAAGTCCTGTAAAAAGCTGAAGGTATCTTGATTCCCCTTTGTCAAAGCCTTTCATTTATTTCTTGTAGAGGGCACATTTTGAATTGGAAAATTATGACTAAGTATGGTGCCTATTTTACTCAATCTCTCTTTATATATATGCATTTTACTTTTTAAAGTATACACAGTAGGGCTTCCCTGGTAGCGCAGTGGTTGAGAGTCCGCCTGCCGATGCAGGGGACATGGGTTCGTGCCCCGGTCCGGGAAGATCCCACATACCGCGGAGCGGCTGGGCCCGTGAGCCATGGCCACTGAACCTGTGCGTCCGGAGCCTGTGCTCCGCAACGGGAGAGGCCGCAACAGTGAGAGGCCCGCGTACCACAAAAAAAATTTAAAAAATATACACAGTAAAGTGCAAATGCCTAACATATATACAGATCAATGAATCTTTGTTATGGTATACCCTCATGTACCTAGCATCCAGATCAAATACAAAATATTTCTAGCACCAGAAAAAGCTCCTTTGTTCCTCTTCCCTGTCAATATCCACCTTCCCTCCCTCAAACCCTCAGATAACTACCACACTGTCTGCTATCATGATGACTTGTTTCACCTGCTGTTGAAACTCCATTTACATGGCATCATGATGTATTCTTTTGTGTCTGCATTCTTTCTCTCAGTAGTGTTTGTGAAATTCATCCATGGTGCTATAGTAGCACTGGTGTGTTCTTCTGTATTACAGTTTAGTACTCCATTGTATAAAAATACCAAAATTTATTTATCCATTCTACTACTGGGAATTCAGGTTGTTTCCAATTTGGTGCTCCTATAAAGAGAGCTACTATGAACATGATACTATGTACACACCTGTGGTGGGTGGTAAGCATCTGCACTCATTCCTCTTGGGAAGTCCTAGGAATGCAATTGCTGGGTTATAAGGTAGATGTATGATAAATGTGACTTTAGTAGAAAGCATCAAACATTTCCCCCAAATAGTTGATTACTTTACACTTCTACCAACAGCATATGAGAGTTTCAGTTGCTCCACAGTGTCACCAACATTTAGTATTGTCAGTCTTTTTTAATTTTAATGGACCTACAGATTTTGTTGTGGTGGTTTTAATAGTTATTTTTCTCATAACTAATGTATTTATTGCCCAATTATTATTTCATATATAAATGTGACCAAGAAAATTAATTCATGATGAAATTCTTTCCAAAATTAATTCATGGTGAAATTCTTTCCAAGTCATTCTCTCCTTATACCTAAAACATATTGTACAGATTAATTTCCCTAATATACCCCTTTGCTCAAAATGCTTTTTTGTCAACTGGATATAAAATACAAGTGAGCAGAGCAAATAACAGAGTTAACAAGGTCAACTTTCCTTGATGTCAATTTTCAAAGATGTGGCAATGGACCAGCAAATGAGATACTGTGGTATAAAGGGAAAAGGACAAAACCAGGAGAAGTGAACTTACACACTTAAGATGTCATGGTTATCAAGTAAAGGACTGGCTCAGATAAACTTAAGATCCCTTACAGTTTTAAATTTCTGACTATTCAAGTAGCAAAGACAGAATAAGTAAAAACACTTGAATGAGATTATGTAGGTTTTTTCCTACCTATTAAAATTGGTTAATTCATCAACATCACCTGTGCTTAAACTGAAACAATGATGTAGGGAGTATAACTATCAATACATAAATATTTTAGTCCCAAAGAATCAATCAAGGATACACAAATATAATGAAAATTAATATATGACCTCATTTAACATACTAATCCAAAATTTTAAGACCTGACTATTCAGTTGACCATTTAAAAATAGGTAGAAAAATACATAGAGAACTCAATGACAAAACAAAAATGTTTCCCAAAGTAAATGTTAGGATTCCTAAATGTGGATTTTATTATCCTGAGATAAAGTTCTAGTCCATTGCAATACATTTCTGAAATCAATATGGAAATGGGAGATATTGTTCAATAAGAAAAAATTACTAGAGAAAATATGGTTACAAAGAAAGGCTCATTATGCTAGAACTATTTCCATATCTTAAAAGATTAGTTATAAAAAGGTACTATTTTGTTTTGGTTCTAAAGAATTCCCTTCTAACAATAAAGAATCCTACAAAAAAAGTACTCATGTGGTTCCTGTTAGTGGTTAAGAGTTCGAGCTCTGTAGCTAAACAGAGATGGTTTGAGGGCCAAGCTTTGCCACTTACAAGGGGTGTGAAGCCAGAAGAATTGTTTGACCTCTGAGCCTCAATTTCCCAAAATGGAAATAAAAATAAAATCTACCCTTATAAAGTTGTTATGAGAATCAGGTGTCTGGCACATACCAAATGATCAATAAATGTTAGCCATTATCTAGTACAGAAAAGAAAGCTTCGCTACAGATGAGATTTTTAAAAATTCTTTTCATCTTCTACTTCAACTCTTCCTTCCTTCTAAGTAAAACACCTAAATCTAGACCCATCCCCAATCCAAAACAGAGAAACAAACAATAACATACAAGCAGACTCAGGAGGTGGAGGGAAGAATGAGACTGAAGAATTATAGGTTTGTGTGCATTTCTGCTTGGTATTACCCTCTTCCTATGAGTTCATAATCACTCCTCCCTTTATAATTCACTAGAGAACCCAGACTTCCACTATTTATATCTAGATTTTGTAGTCTGGAAATGTACTTTCTAGCAATATATTTATATTGATATTTAACAGAAACTTGTAAAGTGAATAAATCATCATATACCTTAATTATTTTCATTTATTCAGGAATGCAATACATTTCAAATTTAAGATTCAAATTAATTCAATGATTCTGGCAATTTAAGTGACTATGCTCTTACTTTTTTTTTTTTTTTTTTTTGCGGTACGCGGGCCTCCCACTGTTGTGGCCTCTCCCGTTGCGGAGCACAGGCTCCGGACGCGCAGGCTCAGCGGCCATGGCTCACGGGCCCAGCTGCCCCGCAGCATGTGAGATCTTCCCAGACCGGGGCACGAACCCATGTCCCCTGAATTGGCAGGCGGACTCTCAACCACTGCGCCACCAGGGAAGCCCTATGCTCTTACTTTTGAACCACAAATAAAAGCACTGAATAAGCCACTGTGAAAAGTTTCAAATAAACTACCTTTGTTTATTTAAGAGAGAG